TTGGTTGCATTTCCTTGAATGGGATAGATATAATCCCATCACAGACAGCATTGTACCTCAAGATAGATCTTGAAATGTTCTTTTTGACAAGGAATGCCCCTTGCGTAATTTACAGTACAGTAAACTAAATGATTTTCTGAATCAGACTGGCCTTACGTCCATTTCATCACACTAATGCCTAGGATGTCAACCTTTATGTATTCCATTTCATTTTGCTTGACTTCCAATTTTCCTAGATTTGTACTCCTATACCATTAGTCAATTTTTATGGCTGTTTTGTCATTTTGAATTGTGCCCCATCAGCAAATGAAGGTCTGGATGGCTTTACTCCCACCGGCGTACTCCACTCGCACTGTTATAGTCACTTCTACATGGAGAAGGCAGCTCTTCCTCAGTCAGATTTGAGTTCCCTTTGACTGGAAGGTCTCACCCTGTGGCCCTGTCTGACAGTGCTCTGCCTTTAGTGATTAGGCCGTCAGTATGATATTTTGATGTTATCCATCAGGTTTTCAGAGACTAATCCTTAGATGAAAGTAGACAGCCTATTCCTTTGTCATAGTCTGTTTTTAGTCTGGAATCTCTGCTGAAACCTGTTTACTTTGGTTGACCCTACTGGTAATTTTAATACCAGTGATGGAGCTTCCAGCATCACAGCAACACACAGGCCACCACAGTATAATCAACTAGCAGACAATTTGCTCATAGAGACTCAGTGTGCAACAGAATGAAACACAGCCCAGTCCTGTGCTGACCTCACCATCAGTTTTATGTTGGAGCCCACTCTAACTGCCATGGTGACAATCCATCTCCTTGATGGTCCTCCTTGTGTCCACTGCCCTTCAACTGTACTAACCATGATATCCCTTTCCAGGGACTGCTCTCTCCTGTTAAACACAGAGTAAACCTATGATAGAAGAATCGACTTCTAGGTACTTAATTGCCTGAAATGAAAACCTATTGCATTAAGTTTTGTGTATGAATATTTATAGCAGCCTTATTAATCATAACCAAAAAGGAAAAACAGCTCAAATGTTCATCAGATAACACATAGATAAAATTTGATATATGCATACAATATTCCATTTATAGCTAAATGGAATCATATTTAGCTATAAAAATTAGTGAAGTGCTAATGCAGGACACACCATGGATGACTCTTGTAAACAAGCTGCATGAATGGAGCCAGTCACAACGTGTTACACATTCCACAATTCCATTGATATGACATGCCCCCATAGGCAAACCAATAAAGACAGATAGTAGATTAATTGTGGTCTAGACCTGGAGGCAAAAAGACATGTGAAGTACAAGGTCCTTTTTGCGGTGATGAAATTTTATAAAATCGATTGTTTGGATGGTTGCCCAAATCCGCGTGTACACACAAAGATCACCAACGTGCATTTATGTCCAACTTAAATGGTTGAATTACATATGTGAGTAATTCTCAATGATGCGCTTTAAAAAGATACATGGCCACCACCTCATATCTCCAGTCAAACTGAAATCTATACCGTAGCACAATGATTTGAAAGCCATCCATAGGGTAGGGATATATCTTCTGAGACCAATGGACAGGAAGAGAAAAGCAATCTCACTCTGTCAAGATCATGACTGATGGAACCTTTATTAGAGTCTTGTGTCCAATTTTAATCTCCATCGTTTCATAAGTATAGAGAAAAATCGAAGCGGGTTCAGAAAAGTCCATCATAGGATGATAAATTATTAGACACTAAAATTTCTGAGGGACTATGACAGGCATTGGTATCATTTATTTCAAAATTAGGGATAAAAGCGAGGAAGAAGTGAGAATCATGGGCTGTCACCTGGTGTATGAAACCTTTTCACCACAGGAAACTAATCAGCTCATCATCATATAGATAAGGGATATAATTAAGTAAAGCTGGAGGAAATCAAAGCCACACGATTTTATTTTAGACACTATTCTCATAATTATTTACAGGAGGACCTTAATGAGAAAGCCTAGAGTATTTTAAAGATAAGCAATGTCTTAGTTATCCAGTGCTACTCTGACAGAAATAGCACATGTTGATGACCTTCCGGAGCAGAATCTTAGTTTGTCACCGAAGTCTGAATTCAGAATATTGGCTGAAGGGAAGGCTGTCTCTCAGTTGGCTCTGAGGGAAGATCCTCTTCTCCTTTCCATATTGGTTAGCCCAGCATGTGTTGTAGACATCCTCCTGACTTGACATCTTTCTCAAGTACCTCAGCTCTGCTTCTTCCTTAGATACCCAGGGTTGTTATAAGTCAGACTGTTAGAACAGAGATGTACCTCCTCACCGGCTAGAGAGCTGGAAGTCTGACTGCAGAGCACAGCCCTAGGGGAGGCCTTCTCTCTCTGGCTTCTCTGGGGAAAAGGGCCTTGCTTCTTCTGAGCTCTGCTTTTGGGCAATCTTCACATGGCTTATCATGTCTTTGCCCACCTCTGTTCTGCATGAAGGAGCATTGGGCTGCTAACCTCAAGGTCAACAGTTCAAAGCAAGCAGCTGCTCCAAAGGGGACCAACAAGGCTATCTGCTCCTCTAAACCCTTATAGTCCATATAAGGGTGACTCTGAGCCCAAATCAACCGCATGGCAGTGGGTTTGGTTTGACTTAGACATTAATTCAAGACTTACTTGCCACTGATCCTGCCTCGCAAATTTAACACAGACAGCCGACTCTCCAATGGGATTATCACTGCAGGCATAGAAATTGGGATTTACAACACCTGTCATGTTGTGAAGGAACATAATTCAATCACAACAGGGAGGTATTGATGTTTGGTAGTTTAAGAGACATGAAACAGCACATAAACTTTTCTGTATAAGAGAATATCAGTACGGAAAAGCTACATATAAAATGATCATAACTATGTAATCGTCTCGGCGAAATAAGATAAAAGAAATCTACCAAATACTTTGCAGCGCTTCATTCACTTCTAGCTGACGTTTAGTACCTAGGACTTTCCTTTTTCTTGATGTTGTTGTAGTATTTTTTTCTCATTCCCCATAGTTTCCATAAATATTTGTACAACAAATACAATCTTAAATACATAGACCCCAAACTAAACCGAACTCACTGCCTGCCATAATTCCCATTACAAAAGTAGACTGCTACCTCTTTCTCGGACACAGAAGAGCTGGCGGGTTCAAACTGCTAGCCTTTTGGTTAGCAGCCAAGCACTTTAAACACTGAGCTACCATGGCCCCTAATATACATGCACATACAAGACGTATATAAGCTATCTTCGTTTAAGTGTCAGACTTATCTCTTGATGCCATTATGTTTCATCACATTTTCCTCACAGGTGAGATATGTCTGTCTGCTGTAAATATTTCCAGCCTCAGGAACCCACAGAGAGAGTTCTACACTGTCCATAGGGTGGCCCTGTGTCAGAATGGACTCCACGACAAGAAGTGTGACAGGGAGGGGCCCAAAGATTGTGTTAATCCCCCTACTTCCTAAGATTCTCCCTTCCTCCACCCCCAACCCTCCACCGCCACCCTGCCCTCTGGAGGAGGACATCATGCTTGTTAAAGTACAGGGGCAGCAGGCAAGAGGAGGGCTATTCAGACAGGGCTTGACCCCGTGGCTGCAGCAATGGGCTCAGGCACAGGAACAAGTGTGAGCATGGCCCAGGACCACGCAGTGTTTTGTTCTATGCTCCTAAAAACAGCAAGAAAGGATCATAATCTTTTAAACGATTTTGATTTTTTTTTTTTTACCACATGTATCCTGTGTACTGTATTTGCCGAAGGAAAATACAATTTAAGGAGAATTTCTCATCTTTTATTCAATCAGGTGATTATGTTACAAAATATTTTAACAGTGCCCTCTTTAAAAAAAAAAGCATGCGTTTTACTAGCCAGATTGCTTATGGGTAAAGCCGTATAAAGAGAAAAAGGAAATTGACCCTATTCAGAGTGCTGCGGGTTAATGATATTTTATCACGCTGTGGCTCTGCTTTTCCTGTGTCGCAATCTAATTCATTCTACTCAGCAAGCATGGGATGAGTGACTAACCTAAGCAAGTTCTTTCTAAAAGTCCCCAAATCTTCATATTCCTGCATAACAGATATATATATATATATAATTATTTCCCCCTCAAGTCAATCTAAGTTAATTATTCAGAGTTCTCAGTAATGGAAACCTAAGGAAGTAACTCAGCTGAAAAGTAGACAACACATCAAAACCAGAGCTCTGGCTTCTCCTCGTACCTAACTCCTCGATAGACGGCAACTTTCTTCACCAGTGCGCCTTGGTTTTCAACCTGAATTTTGGGTTTCACTTCACGTATCAATTATACAGTTATATTCACTTAGCACACCACCCTTTGTACAGGAGTGGGGAAGTAGTAACTGAGATTTCTGCATTTCACCTCCACCCAGGTAGCTGGCATAAGATCCTTGCATGTGTTGGATTTCGATGTGCCCTGCATTATTCCAATAATCCAGGTACAGAATCCTCATCTGCCTTTTCTAGGAACAGTTGTCACGGATTGGGCGCGAACTCACGGTGCCACCTTTGTGTGTCAGAATAGACCCGTGCCTCCATAGGATTTTCTTCCAAGGGACCTCTGTGTAACTGTGGGCCTTCGGTTTGCAGCCAAGTCCCAGGGACCCCACACACTAAGTTCCCTTTCCCAGAGACTAGTGGCGTTGATGCCCCACCACCTCAAGGCAATCGCGTCACCATACTGGAAACGAGGGGATGATAAGCAGCATTTGCAGAAGCATTGCAGGGGATTGCTTACCGAGAGCAAACTTTGATAACCGCTGCTCTAGACTGGGAACCAGAGACTTGTGACCAGAGACACGCGATTGTGTTTTGATTGACATCTCTAATAGAGTGTCTACGATGCAGCAGTTGTTCCTGGCTGGTTTGTTTACTGAATGAAAGGCCAGGCATTCCTCTTTATATTGGTCCATCCTGCCCCTTGAGTGATATGAAGTTGGCGGGATATGAAGATTTAGTCATGTTGGTCTTCATTTTCTTAGCACAGGTGCAGCAGTGAACAGCAGTGAGAGCCTCCCTCCATCCTCGTCCGTCAACGACATCTCCTCCATGTCCACCGACCAGACCCTGGCCTCCGACACTGACAGCAGCTTGGAAGCCTCGGCAGGCCCCCTGGGTTGTTGCAGGTGACTAGCCGCCTGCCTGCGAAACCCAGCGTTCTTCAGGAGATGATGCGATGGGATACACACACATGTAGACACACACGCACACACCCAGATGTTGACACACGATGACAAGAAAATGGCAAGGCAGAGAATCCACGTCTAGAATCAAAACCAATCTTTCAGCCTGCTTCCTCTACCAGAGTTCCGTACCGCAGCTAAGCGCACATGTAAATGTAACTTCTAGTGGCTCTTGCTTTGGGCTTTTCCCAACGATGCTTACCACGGAAAGTGAATCAAACCCAATGAGAAAAGCCTTTCTCACAAGTTGTAAATTTGATGGCTGAAAAACCAGCAACCTGTACCTGCCCTTCCAAATGGCATGACAAGGGTGCAGTGGCCCCATCCAGCATGTGTGTTACTCTATCTTGCATCTACCTGCTCCTTTGGGCCTAATGGGATGGATAGAGGTACAGATCTGCATGTGTCTGTATTCAGACAGCACTACTTCCTTAGAGATGCTCCTGTCAGTGTCCTCGGGGCTGTACCAAGACATCCTGCACTGGGGTACCACACGGTCCATTTCATGAGATCTATTACTCTGACATAAACCCATCTGTAATCTAGTGCCAGTATATAAGCTGTTTAGTTTGTTAATCAATTAAGCTGTATGTCTTATAAGAAAACATGTAAAGGGGGAACCTATGGGGGGAGTGAGCTCTCTCGGACCCTTGAAGATGTAGCTTCCAAATTTGAACTGATTAAATGGCACCTGTATACCAATTTGTAGAAAGAACATATGTGATGCTTCTGGACAGTGGGCGGGGGGAGGGGAGAATGGTCGTTTTCAGGCATGAAAGGATCTGACTGTCGAAGGAAGGTGTGACGAAAGCTGACGCTCTTTGCTCTGACCATGAACACATAGAAGAAACTAGATGGTAGGGTTGCCCGGTGGACTGAGATCTGAAAGAGATTATTGCCCAGGTAGTAGAAGACACCGACATCCGTGTTTTAGAGTAGACATCATTTGTTATTTCCAAATTATGAGTCACTGGAGAGGGTGGCAGGTGGTGGCGCATGGTCATTGTGTATGTTGGTGGCTATCAGGATCCCTCCCTGGACCAGAGCCGAACTGCCTCCTTGCGATTTCCCCCATAGCCAATGAAGCTAGCTAGGTGACTTTTGGATTGTGGGTTGTGTTTTCCACCAGTGTGTTGTTTTCCATGGCTCTACCCTATCTAGATTAACTGTTGGGAAGAGAAACTATTTTCCTCTTTGTAAAGAAAAAAAAGAATGAAAGAATGAAAATAACCCCCCAGAAAGCACAGAGTGATCCTCAGTTCAGGACGACTCCACAGACATGATTACCCTCAGTGAGTTCCCTGTCTCCTTATATGGCTGATGTTTCCTATGGGTTTTCTTCCTTACCTTTGGCCCATCTGACAAGAGCCAATAAACTGAGTTTTGCCATAGCAGTCAAGGTGACCGCAATAACTCTGCCAACAGGTTACTGCTACTAAAGAGCTTTAGCAATATGAGTTTGTCTTAAAAGCCATGAAGCATTAGTGTCCATGTTTAGCAAAAGCACCTGAATTTATCTCAGATTAAATGAAAGTGCTTTCCTGAGCATTTAGCGGAGGTACTGTGGAACATCTCGGGGGCTATGCGAGGCAATACCAGGGTGACTTCACAGCAATAAGCGGTACCAGCTACAGGCTTCCCTTCTTACTCACCGTGGTGACGTATCCATCACCGTTATTTGCACTCTAACCATGTCGGTGCTCACCGATGCGGTGATATTTCACTTGAAGGAGAAAACTGCATGCAATGGATGACTGATGAGTGTGACATGACTGACAAGTGGAATCCCGACCAAAAAATAAAACAAAATAGAGCAATCAAGAGTGCTCTGAAAACTGCCTTAAATGCCGCAGGGAAGCTTTCTCCTTTCAAGCAATAGAGTCAATCGGGTACCACAACCACTCCCACCATCACATGTGAATATATTGCCACATTTGGGATGGGCTTCATTAATAAGGACAGAAAACTTTGGATTGTGCAGCTTGTCCCCTGTAATTAAAGTGGTCCAATTTCATTCTCTTGCTACCAACTTTTCTTAGTCCCGATTGATTTCCTCACTGCCCCATTGCTCACTGTTCTGTTGCAGCCTCTGCTTCATTGGACTTTGTACTTTTTGAAAAAACCTTCGCCATGTCACTTAGCGTTTCCTTCTACTCCTTTTGTGACACTCTTCTCTTGCTAGACCAGTGGCCTCTCTACCACCTTCCTCACCGACCCCCACATGGGATTCAGTGGGAGAGTAGGCAGCTGTTGTAAAGACATGGAATCACAGAGGGAATCCCGTCAGCCTCTGGATGACATCAGAGGACAGAAGGCGCTCCCCAGCTAGCATCTGAGACGTGCCTGGCAGTTAGATGATCTCTCGTGTCTGTCAAAACGGTGGTTTCTTTCCCTCACAGCGAGGCAGGCAAGAACTAGACACCCTCCTTGGGATTGTTACCTTCCCTAAGTGGTGGTAGCCTTTTCTGCCCTGTTGCATGGTTCTTGGGAGGTGGTTACTTTTAGCCAGATGTCTCTTATGGATGGGGGAAAAATCACTCAGGATAAAGTGTTGATTAGAAATAGATGTAAGGGGTTGACTTCTTGACTGCTTGTAAGATTCATTGTATTTGGTTATCCATGCAAGACAGCTGATAGGGTGACAAAGAGAATCACCACTTCAAAAGCCTGTTAGTCCTTCATGATCTTATGTACATGTGGATATAATATCTGCTGGAGATGATTGTTAATAAAGAATTAAGAGATTATATGATGTTCTACCCCGAATCTCCTTTTCTGAAGAAAACAATGGTTTTCGATGTGATCACCTCTCACTTCCTGAGGATTCTTACCTTTGAAGCCTCCTGGACAACATCCCTAGGAAAAGTGAAGGTTGTGCCCATGGTTGAGGTTCATTTTGGAATGTAAACTTGGCAGATTTAGGATTTTCATTCGCTCCTTTAGGGGGTATTCGTTTAGCAGTGTCCTTTAGTGAGCTCGTTTGTAGTACTCTGATTTTGTAAGAGGGATTGCTGTGTGATGGTGTGCAGGAGAAATGGATTTGTTTTGTGAGTCTGGCAAACCACGGCCACTTAATTATGTCTTTGCTCTTCGTGGGCATTCTGTGGGAGCAGGGCATGCACTTTTAAGGAGGTATCATTAGCTCTTCCTCACGGGAGATAGCCATCTGTGCCAGGCACCATAATAGATCACGAAATATGAGGGGATAGTTCAAGGAGGTCCTAGTGGGGAGAAATAAGGAGTCCCGGAAACTACCTTTTCTTGTAGATTAAAATTTCTTCTAATGAAAATGCAAACAAATAATCTTGCATCTTCAAGAATCTGATGACTGAGCTTGGTAGATATGTCCTTGACAATTGATCCAAGGCCTGACCAATACCTACCAGTTGGAGTAACTTATTTTTTAAGGGGCTGGAAAATTTTATGTAGTCTTATCATTATGAGGAAAAAAATATATCTGATAGCATCTGATTGGCAAATAAGAAAGTGGGCCTTGGCAAATGGAGTAAGTGGGGTGGGCATAAATACATCAATGCTTTTATGGTCTGTCTGAGGAAAATGCAAACCAACAACAAAAGCCAACAAGCACATTGGACTTACAACATCGAAATATCCATTGCGAAATCTAGCTCATCTAAAATCCATTTCGATTTCATTCTCTTCAAATACAACACATTAAGGCTTAAAAGCATTACATTTTATAAAGAATGTTGCCAACTGGCTTTGCGGAAAAATATACCTTCTAGAACGCAGAGAGAGGTAGACAGTCTCTGGAGGAAGAATTGATCTTGGCCACACTGGGTCTGAGGACGAAATCCATTTCCCACTCAACATCTTCCACACACATCATAGTCGCGAGTCCATCGGTTTTCACAGATATCATTCAGCCAAGCAGGGAAACTCTTTTCTGTGACAAAAGAAAAACAATAGAAAGAACTACAGTGTAAATAGTTATATTCATTATTTTGCTGGTGATTCAAATATAAAATTTCTTTATTTCTTTGGGCACATAGACAGTCCTTTAGCTGTCTGAAAATGGTTCATCTTGACCTTTTTCCTTGGTCAGTCAAGCTGACGTGAAAGGCCTCTGTTTCTTTATGGATTCCTGTATATCTAACTTTTGACTATGTGGGACCAATGGCCAGTATATTCTAATGGTAACAAAGTCTCCCAATCCTTCACTATCATTTAAATTGTTTACCTTGCCATGTTTATCTTGTAATGAGACCTAATTTGTCCCTGCCTGTAATTCTGCATGATTGGACTCCAAAGACTCTTACTAATGATAAGAATTGTCACGTGTCAGTATTTATCAAATGGATTTAAAGCACACATACACACACACACACACATGTGCGCACGTACACACGCCTCACCTTAACAGCCCTGGAGCAAGCCTAGAAGGCGAGAGCATGTGTACCCAGTTTCTTGACAAGGTTTTAGTGGTGACAACTAGTGAAAGCCAGTCAGTCTGATGGATAAAATGCGCTATCAGTAATGTTTGTTTAGGACTCAGAATAATGGAAATCACTTCTTGGTGGTTTCTCACTCTCTACTTTATTTCATGGTTTCCCACTTTATATTCAAAATGTCGGTGGAAGAAGAGGGCAACTGGGTGGGGGGACTTTGACTTCTTTTGACTCTTTGTAAGTCAATGCTGAGTCAATATATTGTGGTTTCTGTTTCTTATGAATTATTAAACACCGGAGGAAATCTGCTTCCCTTAACATAAAGCGAATCCAAACCCAGTCTTCGTTGGAGTTTGCCTGTTTACAATGGGTATTGTGTGGCTAGTTGTCTTGGGTTTTATGTCAGAGGTATCTCACACTAAGCCATTTGAATGCCTGGTGGGACACACACACACACACACACACACACACACACACCCTGAAGTAGGGTCTGATTACCCTGGGGAATACATAAGAAAGGAAGACAGCCTGCTTTCTCCCGATGGGCAACGCTAGTATAAAATGCTGTGACCACGTAGCGTGCTGTGATTTCCGTGGAGACTGCTTTCTTCTGAAGGTGCTCTTCCTTTCTGTCCTCGGATGCTAAGTATACACTTGCAATCCAATACGTTTCCCTTAAGCTATAAAATAAATGAAGAAAAACATGCTACAATCTCTGGGCACAGGCATATGATCAGAATTTTAATGAATTTGACTTATTGTCAAACCTAATCAACTACAGCAACACCTCCCAAAACTCACCTGCCATCGGGCTGATTCAGACTCAGAGAGACTGTATGCAGGATTCGCAAGTCTATGAATCTTTACTGGAGGAGAAAAGCTCATCTTTCTCCAGCTTCCTGGCAGAGAGAGAAAACATTTTAGTCCTGCCTTGTTGTTGTTTTGGTTCACATGATAGGCAACCAAGTATTTAGACTCCTGGTGAAAATACAATATGATTTTTTTTTAACTTTAAGAAGCCACTGAACTTATTATGTTCACTTAGCCAACATAATAATAAGTGAGGAGTGAGAAGGAGTGGTCCTTGTACTTTTGTACATACAGGTCTTCCAAATCAAAAGACCCAGCTCTTAGAAATTGTAGAGGAGAAAGTATACCTATTATTTCAAGTTAACATGATGTATGCTTTAATCAGGTTAGAAATTAGAAATCTAAGCCGTTCCTTATCTCAGGCACAACTTTGCTTCTAATTTGAAACATGGATCTTACTCTCTTGAAAAATAACTTAAAAATGGACAATCCTAGGGAACTGAAAATACTCAAAATCTTGTGAAGGGACTTCTCACAGAGACAACATGCACGGAGGAGATGGTGATGCCTAGGAGGCGTCATGAAAGTTAACCAAGTGTTGGGGCAATTTGACCATGTCCACTGTGAGGACATGAAGGGGGTCTTGGAAAAGACCTTTCTTGCATCGTCAACCTTTTTTTCCTTCAACCAATTTAGAAGGATGATTCCTCAATCAATGACTACAGTGAGTCCTCCCAGAGATTTTATTTATTGCCAAACAATCAGGGTTATGTTTGGTGTTTCTCGTGTTCCTTTCCTTCCCTGGTTTTCCGACCATGTCCTATTGCTTGGTGTCTGAGCTCACTCCATGCAGGAAGTCACCTTTGTCAGTTCCAGACTGATGTCCACCTGCTTGTCCTTTAGAACCCTGGTGACTTAGTGGTTACACGTGGGCTGAGAGCCACGAGGTAAGCAGCTGGAAACCACTAACTGGGCTTTCTGTGTCCCGAAACAATTCCAGCCTTGGAAGCTCACAAGGGCAGTTCTACCCTGCCCTCCCAGGGTCGCCATGAATGAATCAGAATCAACGTGAAGGCAGGGAGTTTGGTTTTCGGAGTTTAATCCTTTAGAGCAAGGCGCCCTGGTGACAAAGTGGTTTGGGCTTCTAACCACAAAGGTCAGTAATTCAGATCCACCAGCTGTTCTGTGGGAGAAAGATGAGACTTTGTTCTCATAAAAGGTTCCAGCCTGAGAAACCACAGGGCCAAGTTTTACTTTGCCCTCTAATGTTGCTTTGAGTCAACCACAGAGTTTGAGTGAGTATATCATTTAGAGCAGTGTGTTCTGCATAACTCAAAATACGCTGCAGATTCTCCAATATATTTCTCATACTCATGAGCTAGGATGTCACATACACCAATCACAGTCCCATACTTCGATGAAATTTCTAATCCTCCCTATAGAAAATAAGGAGTCCCGGGGGCTGGGAGGGTAAAGGTTGGGTTCCTAACCACCAGGACACCAGGACACCAACTGTTCCCTGGGAGAAAGAGTCAGTGGTCTTCCCCTCTAGAGATTTACAGCCATGCTAACTATGCAGAGTGTCACTGAATGGCGATGGGTTTGAGTCTCTAAAAATGCTCTGTGCTTGAAAGATACGCTTACCCTGGTATGAAACTCAAGCATAAATAATTCTAAAGTGTAATTCACAGAATTAAAATATGACGGCTTTGCTTCCTCATCGCTCAGCTTCTGATCTCATTACAATCTTCAATTTTACCTGATAGCTCAAATGTTTGCACCCCCAAAGCAGGTGCAAAATGCTGTTTAGCATCATACTCTTGAGTACCTGTCTAGAGTAGAGTCTCATTCATAAATTGCCTTCCAATGTCACTTATTTATAATTCAGTGTTGAAAACATATCTATAATTATGTGCAAAAATGAAATTTAAAGCACAAGTCATATTTTACATGGACTAGGGGTACTGTTGCTGTTAACACATTCTTTTTTTTTTTTTAAGGGAAAGGTCTTACAAAGTAATTACTTCTTCTTTAATGTGAATATTTTGCAAATATGAATTTGTGCTAATGAACCACAAAGAAAAAATTGTCTGAACTTCTGAGCTACATCCCTAAGCAGTTCATTCATTCACTGACAAAACTCTTATCAAACACCCACAGGTTCTAGAAAAGAGACAAATATGGCAGGACCATTATCCTCAACATTTATGCTAAGTAAATATTTTAGGAGAAAATAAGTGATTAAAGCAAAACACCCTTATCTTATTTATTTATTTTCTTTCAAAATAGCAATGATAATATTACAAAAACCAAAACCTCTTCCATTTCTATGATGCCCTTCATGTCATGAAACAAGACATTTACCTTTTACAGTGTTTTCATTTTGTCTAATTGTATGTACACGTATTGAATCAGCAGAGAGAGCAGGTTTTGCATATTTTCATTACATGATAAGAAGTATAATCATTTTTATAATTTATATGCTTTTAAAAGCACAGCTGTTTCCTTTTTTGGCATTATACAGGTTT